TAAAAAGCCCTTAAAGAACTTAAAACAGCAATAATATTAGAACCTGTTTTTACTATATTTAACCTAGAAAAACCTATTATAATTAAAATAAATATATTAATATTTATAATAGAAGGAATATTAAATTAACCTAGAGAAAACAGTAAGCTATAATCTATTATATTTTTTTTATATAAACTCTATAGACTAGTAATATAATATACTATATATAATAAAGAAATATTAGCTATTATTAAAGTACTTAAAAAATAAAGATATTACTACTATAAAAGCAAGCATAAGGTTACTATCTTTATAAACTATAAAAACCTTATTTACTTTACTACTATATAAGAACTATTAAGTTAATAAATTAAATACTTTAAATTCTTTTTATAATTTAACTTTAAATTTATTTATTATAAAGGATTAAAAAATAAATAAGCTAATGTATTAAGCAGAAGAGTTAATTATAAGCAAGAAGTACCTGAATATATAGCATAAGCACTATAATTTAATAATAATAAAAATATTAAATAAATATAAATCTATATAATATTTAAAGTCCTAGAAAATAACCTTATGCTTAAAGAAATTAAAGAATTTATTAAAAACTAAGAAAATAAATAATATTTAGAAAATATTATTATAGATTTAGGATACTTTAAATAATATAGGAAAATTTAAGTACCTGAAGAACTATAAAAGAAAGTAGTTAAATATATTTATAAACATCTGCTGTATAAATATAAAAGTATAATAAAAACATATAGTTAAGTTTTAATATACTATAATATTAAAAAGCTTAGAGAACATGTAAAAACTATTTACAGGTATACAATATAATAGTATTTTTATAGTAGTCTGCCGACTTATAAAGCAAGCCTACTTTTTGCTGTATAAAAAGTTACACTTATTAAAAGACCTTGCTTACACCTATATAAAAATAATTGCCGCTAATTATAGATTACCTAAAGAAATTATCTTAAATTAAGGATAAATATTTACTTTTAAATTTTAGCAAGAACTTATAGCTAAATTAAAAATAAACTATAAACTTAGTACTATATATTATCCTTAGATAGATAAATAAATTAAATACATAAATTAAATTATTAAAGCCTATTTATAAGCTTATATTAACTTTATATAAGATAATTGGGTTAAGAAATTACTAGTAGCTTAACTATACTATAATAGTATACTATTAGAATCTATAAAATTAATGCCTTTTTTTATAAATTATAGATTTATGCTAAAAGTATTTAAACTACTATAAAATAGACTTAATTTAAAGAAAGTAAAATTATAAGTTAAATTAATAATTAATTTATATAAAGAAATATATATATAACTTAAGTTTATTAATAAATGTATAAAGAAATATATAAATAAAGATAAAATTATAGGATTAATTCTTTAAAAAGAAGATATAATTTACTTACTATAATACTTATAAAGCTATAAACTACTAAATATTAAAATAAATAAGTTAAGTAATAAACTTAATATTAAAAAAATAAAACCCTATAAAATTTTAGAATAAATTAAAGAAGTTAATTATAAACTAGCTTTACTAAATATAATAAAAATATAAAATCTAGTCTTTTATATATTATAACTTAAAAAAGCATAAATTAATAAAAAAACTAGAAGATTTATTTTAAATAAAATTATTATAGAAACCTAGGAAGAAGAATATAAAATTAAAAATATTATTGTTATATATTAAAACCCTGAAACTTAAAATATTAAGTACTTTATTAAATAGAAAGAATATTTAAAACTTAAAAATTTATAAAAGCCTGCTAAATACTTTAGCTTTTAAAAGCTAATAAAGAAGTTTCTTTAGACTGTAGGACTAGAGGACTTAAATTAATAAACTTAAGCCTAATGCCTAAAGAAGGCTAGTTAATATTATTAAAAACCTTTAACTATTAAAAATTATTTACTACTTTATTTTTTTTATTTAATTCCTGCATTTTATAATAGACTAACTCCTTGCTATACTCTTTTATTTAACTTCTAGTGTAATAAATATAAAATAATTAATTTACAGCCTTAGATAGCTTTAACTATAACTTAAAAAGTTAAGCTTAAAAAGATTCCAGGGCCTTACCTGCTGCCTTTTCTTCAGCCTTTAATTTCTTATGCTAATCTAATACTTTTATTATTAAAAGAAAAATCAGCTATTATATAATAAAAAAAGAATATTTACTTATAAAAAAATATAACTAATATACTATTATAAAAACAGCTATGCTTTATATACTTATAATAATAAAAAGAATCCTTAATTATATAATAAAAAACCTTCCTTTAGAAATAATATATATATAGTATATTTAAATTAAATCTATTAAATAAAATATATAATGTAAGAATATTATATTTGTGGGTTTTATAAAAAATAAACTTAAATACTTTATTAATTATAATAGTATCTTTAAAAAAGTAAGTTTATAGAACTATAAACATAAGAAAGGCAATATACTTATAAATTATATATTACTGCATATATAGCCTTAAAAATAAAACTAATAAAAAGAGGGCATTATATTATAACTTAAAACTATAAAATATATACCCCAGATATACTATAGACTAATAAATTAATTAAAAAAAGAATTATAGCTTTAAGAGTAAGCCATCCTAAATAGATTATTATTATAAAAGTAAGCTACTACAAAAGGATTATAATTAGGATTATAAGCCTTATAAAATAACTTACTATATAAGACTGTTTATTACACTTATTAAATATAGTTTAAATAATTAGTTATTAATATAGTATTTATATAATAACTAAATTAAACTCCTATCTAAAGTTATTAGCTATATAATTAAAACTGCTTATAAAATCCTTTATATCTTTTTATTAATATAAACCTAATGTTAAAGGTTTATCCCTTAGGAACTAGTTACCCTATACTAGGTATAGGATTAGAATGTTATAATTAACCTTTGTATAAGTTAACATAAGTTAACTATTAATTTTAATTAATTTAATAAAAGTAATTTATTATATAAAATAAATAAAATATATTTATTAAATAACTTAAATAATTAGTTATTAATAATATAATAATACTAGATATAAGTTATATTTTATTTACTAATTATATAATTATATAATATATTTAATAGAATATTTTATTTTATTTACTAATATAAATAATAGTAATTTAAAATTTAAAAACTAAATTACTATATATAAAAGAGTATAATAGTATAGGGTAGTAATTTAAAAATTTAGTTTAGAAAGGTTATATATTAATTTTCTAATATAAATTAATTTTGAAATCCTTTTCCTTTTACTTTTATTTTTTGCTTATTAATAAAGAATATAATAAAAGGTTTAATACTATTAGAAAGTTTAAAAACAGGGCTTTTTAATAGATTTGTTTTTTCTAATTCCTTTTAGTTAATAAGTTATTAAGTAGTCTTTATATAAGGTTTTAAATGCATTCCTATTATCAGACCGGCGGGCTGCCTTCCGGGGCCTTCCGGGGCCTTCTAGGATCCTGTTACTTTCTTTTACAGACTGCAAATAGGTTAATTTGCTGATTTTTGCTTTTTTCCTTGATTTCATAAGAGTACCTACCCCCTTATGCCTTGAAAGTAGCATAAATCCGGCAACCTGATTGGTTAGAAAGGCTTATATAAGCAGAATTATAGGCTTCTGATTGGTTGACTTTGTCGGGAGAACCTCGGAGGTCTTTTTTACTTGAATTTTTCGATCGATTTAAACAGTTTGAAAATGCCCTGTAAGGTGCCCTGTAACATAGGTCTTTTCAATAAGAAAAATACCCTATAGTACCTATTTTTTATAGGCCTTTTTCAAGGCTTTTAAAGCCTATTACCTATAGGAGGGGCTAATATTAGTAGCTGAATCTGCAAAGTTCCTAAAACATTCCGTTCTATTCTATCCCGTCTACGTCCGCCTATTGCATATATCCTTGTCGCGGTTGACTTCTTTGTTACTAATTTACTCTTTTAATATAGCACTATAGCTCAATTTGGTGTACCAAGTAAATTTCTTCTAGCCTAGCTAAAGTTTATTGGCATTAATAATAGTGCCAAATTCCAAAGTGCATGGAAAAGACTTTGACTTAGGATATTAGCAGCAGGATTTTCTAGGAGCTAGCAAAACCTAGTTCTCTAGACAAGCTAGCAGTAATTGCTTATAACATAAAACAGTTTCTGATATTATACTATGTAATCCGTACCCATATCCCATTTGCTCTAATTAACAATTATGGAGTACTACAATACACAAATAGTACACCGGCAGATATTAATTCTAATTGAGACATTATACACTCTATACCAAGTACGCCGGTAAATATTAGTCTTAATGAGGCGTGAGAGTTACTTATAGATGTCTGAGCCAACGTTACATTTCTCTCATAATGACTAAAGAGTGGTAGCTAACATTTCCGTACATAGCCACTAGATTTTCGTCTATAATTACATCACTTCTGCCCTAAAGACTGCCAGAAAACTTCTCAAACTTCCAAAACTTCCTATTTCTATTACAACCAGTTCTTAATATTTCACCGAACTTCAATTTAATATTCGCAATGCACTCTTTAGTCTTTATTACCGCCCTCAGGTAAGCATACATTTAGTTCTATGTATTTCAATTCATGATACTAATATCACTAGTCTTTCGAGCTACGGTTTGTGATCAATGGAATGTTGTTTTAGTCTACTCACTATATGCTAATTATGTCGCAGGATGCATGGCGAAATCTGGTAGCTACCCGGGAAATCCATGTGAACGGGTCGGCGCTAAATGCGACCCCGTTGTCCAAAACTTTTGCCAAGGCAAGTACGACGCTACAGTTGACTTGCCATGTGGCCCTCATGGATTTGTTGGCGTTGGCTGTTGCTGGCATGGACCTCCTCCTCCAAAGTGAAACCTGTATGACAGGCAGGTCCGCGTGTAGTGTATGGCAGTAGCTGCACATAGGAGATAGTTAGATTATAATTGAGATTGACTTCTATCCGAGCAATAAAAAAAAAAAAGAAATATTATAGGTAGTGCCGCTGTATATTATCCCTTGTAATTATTTAAATGCTTTATCTTAAACCTATTATAACATCCCGGTCTATACTATTTGTATAATAGGTATATGGTAGGTTCCAATCTATAAACGAAGAGCCGGTTTATGTTAGCAGAGAGGTGCGAGAGATCTTAAGAGCGTTCTGTAGTCACGTAGCTAGCGAGGTTATGAATAACCAATCTGATTGCTATCTTAGAGTGCTTCTTTTATTGGTAATTAAGCTACTTGCCCAAATGCCAGCTTGACAGGTTTATGCATTTCTGGGCACAGTAATTTATACACACAGATATATATGCGTATGTTTAATCCAATATATAATGCTTGTCAATATCTATATAATCCGAGACAAGCAACTTGATAGTGTATAGTTCAGTAGGCACTCACAACCAGGAGAGTCAACGCCAAAAGTACACCGCAATGGCAAGTCCATGCTGTATCAAAGCAAGAGATTAACAAGCACGCTACTATTGTCATCAAAGATGATTTAGAGCCTTTGTCTGACGATGACATTCGCGTGCGTCCTAACACTTAATAAGTTAAGACTCTAGCTATAATACAGTTGATTAGCTATAACATTAGTAGCCCCTTTAATCACGTGATGTTAACTCTTTCCTAAATCATGGCAAACGCAACTGTTTGGCCTTTGACCAAGTTATTTCCTCCTTACGTCTTACAGGAATCACACGAACAACTCGAATATCATAAAACCAAAATTTGAATCCTGACAGACAATTTAATCACAATGTCACTCGCGGAAGAACAGCAGTCTCTACAAGCCAAAAACAAGCAGGTGGTGTCTGAGTACACAGCCGAATTCTGGGGCAAAGGTAATACGGATATTGTAGATAAACTCTGTTCTGACGACTTTGTGTCCGACTGCCCATTGCACGGCCGGAGGCAAGGAAAAGCTCAAGTGAAGAAGATGATACTTGATTTCAGAGAGGCGAGCCTTTACCTTCAACCCTAGCGGGTCGTCATAAGCAGTATCGACCACCGAATAACTAACATTACAATAGGCTTTTCCCGATTTTGTAATCCATGCATATGGATCAATTCCCATGATAGCAGAAAATGACTATGTGGTGGTGCGCTGGATTGGTGGCGGCAAACATACTGGTCCTGCGTTTGATGATTTGCCAATCGGCCGACTTCCAGGCCAAAATACAGGCAGGGTGATCCAATTTTCTGGCACAACGATTTATACATTGAGAGATGGCAAAATCATTGAAGAAGTGGCCGAAGAGGGTGCGCTGACTGCACTCCAACAGCTGGGAATACTCAGCAGTGCGAGCACTGCTGATTGAATGGGGAACAAACAACAAGGCCTGATGCAGGCATCGAGTGACCCAGTTTGTGGGCGGGTATCCCTGAATTTGCCATGAATTGTCATGCTCCTCCTGGGAATCCGCTGTTAATTGGTCACAAAAGTGTTGGTTGACTAGTTACTAGATTACCGCTTTCGGAGAGCACCTGAACACATCAACTTTAGTCAGTCAGCTTCTTGGGTTTGACTTTCCTTAGAAAATTCAGCATTTGATTCAGGTGTGCTTATGCAATCACCAAGACAAGAACCACCCATGCAACATTCCCTCTGTCTTGATTTGCTGTAGAGAATGAGATCCAATACCCAGCCCGATTCATGATGATGATTTGCAAGCGAGGTAGGAGTCATCACTTCCTTAGTATAGTAGACTCACTATTTTCTATGGCCCTGCGGTAACCTATCCATCCAGCGGACCTAGCCGTTTTTCCCCGTGTCCATAGCAAATGACGAAGTTCAAACAGTTTTGACGCCATCGCCCTGTAGTGCTTCTTCTACCAAGGTCATAAAGACCAGTGCTCTCACAAAATTAGTTTTTTTGTCAACGTTGAACCCTTACACGACGGGACTCATTCCCTACCTCCAAACGGCGATGGTGCGAACCGGTGAATTCCGACTTAACACCCTAAACGGGGTTTAGGTAGGGGACAGCGTGATTGGAAAAGAATTTTTGCCTCTAAGATACTTGGTCCAGCTTCTCCCAGAGTCATGGCAATTCCAAATATGGTGCAGCATGACAAAGGCTGGCGTTGGGTTGCTAAAACTGCCCCTCTCGAAGAGCCCCATGAGCCGTCTCGTAAAATATAAACGCTTGGTAGGAATAGAGCTCTCGGCAGCAGCAATAAAATATACCCAAGCCAAGCTATTTTCACCAGGGGCATATGGGGGTATGCGTCGAGTATTATCCTTTAACTTAATGAGGAGGTCCTCGAGATCAGGAGGGAGTGTATCGTTCATGATATGACAATGATATATATAGCAGGCGTACTTGATGGCCTCGCTTATTGACTTAAAAATTCGAGTCAAATTATCTCTGAGCGTGCCGGTAGGAACGGTAAGGGGAGTACAGCCATCCTGCTCACGTATGGCAATTCGCTCGGTTGTCAAGGGTTTTGCATAGCGGCGTACCCTATCCAAAAGTGTAAGCCCTGTACACTATGCTTCGGGAATCCTACAACTTACATGTCAAATTGGCCAAGGAGGAAAATTTCCATGTCTGAGTGGTGCGTTCGATGCATAAGAGGAACAAAGCCACAGTTTGTTGCATCTATCCACGACGTTACCATGCCGAATAAAAGATGGAACTGGGGTCCGCCATTAATCATATCAGTGATGAGTAAGAGAATGATGGTAGCCAAAACCGTTACTCTCATGTCACCATCAGGATTATCCGTCTTAGAAATTGCGGAGAGCTGCTCAATAGCCATTGATTGAAAGGCCAATGCCAGCGGCAGAAGCTGGAGGCGCTTAAATCGCATGTGATTTGCTGATAAAGCCAATAGGGCATGCCGAACCAGCTCGTTATCCCATGCAAGAGGCAGTATATGACATCTGAATCCATTTGATGGTCCGTCGAAGACGACAAGGGTGGGTGCTATGTTTTGAGAGACTTGAAAAATGTCAGAATAATACCAAGAAAAGAGATTGAGAATGCGTGTTGAGCAGGACCAACAATTATAAAGGAGCATCCTGGTCAAAGGATCGACGAACTCTAGGTTCAAGGGGATCGGAGTGGCTACACAGGGCCCTCAAGGCCGAATATTCTTAGTGTACTGGAGCCGAAATATAGAGCTTTGCATAAGCTGTAACTTACGATCGCTTGGCTCAGAGATGCGTGGTGATTGGTAGGGAGATACACCCGCCGCGTGACTGGCCACGCATACTCCAGGTGCAATCTGACCGTCAAATGCCTCGATAAGGACGCTCACACTCACATTGTCAAGGCTTGGAGTGCCATTATTGGGTGGAATTTGCGAGCATGGCTCTTTACTGTCTCCGTTCCACGTATTTTCACATAACCCTCTTAAACGAATAATTTCTGTTTCAAGGTCTTCGATATAGTCCAACGTCCGCTGACGGTGATACCGCTGGGCTCGGCGCACCTGGTGCCTGCGTCTACTGTAATCTGATTCGTATGAGGCGCCTTCAATGGTCTCTTAGCAATTAATGAATAACAGTTTATGTAGATTACGCACCCCGATCTGTAGCGCCCTGATCTGTGGTTTTAGTGAACTGGACAGATGCGGTGCCCAAGATGCGGCGTCTCCGCTCCTGGATTGACTCGCGCTTGCGCGATTTAGTTTCCTCTTTTGCATTATTTTTGTATTTGTAAGACTGGTCGCTTTTATTCTCCATAGTCCTTATGATTGACAGCAACCAATTGTCGACAAAGGCAATGGATGAGGTTTACGAGATCTAGGGGAATACACCGTGCATGGGTGGCGGGTTGATGTCAATTCGTGGCAAATCAATGGCACGCGGCTGATATAATCAAGCTGCAAACTATAACTTAGTCTTTAGTGCATTGCAGGGTTCGCCAAAACGACTATAACAAAGGCGTTACAGATGGGTGGCCAAACTAGTGACGATTTAAAATCCATAGACTTCGGCAAGCTCGGGCACTGTGTCATCCACTTTAGAAAGAGCAAAAAAGTGTACCTGTGCTGACTTCATGGGCTTTTCACTGCATAGCGCAAAACGTCCTCTTGCTAAGGGGAAACGCCTAGTGGTTAGATTGTAGTCGACTAAGGAGGGCGCTACAGGTCGAATATGTTAACTCACGTTGTCTGCTGAAGGTGTGGAACAGAAGTCCGGCCGGTTGGAGAGCTTCGGCCCGCGAGACCAGACATACCCACTACTATCCAGCGTCGATGGTGATGGAGGCGATGGCTGATCAGTCAGCCCAACGCAAAGTTCTACTTCTCTTGGTCGTCAATCAGCAGCACTGGCAATAGTAGAGTTAGCGCTTACCAGCCTTGCAGAACGTAGGGTTAGAAACAGCTTACAGAATCTTGAAGCCGCCGATATTCTCGTGGTAATGTATAGAGTCCGGGGGTGACGGCAAATTTGGCTGAAGCAATAAAAAAAAAATTATATTAACTCTAACTTAGTTGCCAAGCTAGAATGTCAGCTATTGCTTTGTGTCAAACATGCTAGTCCACGCTAAATGATGAGGAATCCTGTTTTATTTCCAAAAAGGGACGAAACATGGACATGGGTTGGGGTTCCATTAGGTGGAGATTAGCGTCTTTGTCAGATGTTGAACGGGGTCATTTGCTGAACTGTTTCCGTCCCTAGCTTCCGCGTCTCCTGGTTGTGGATTGCTGGCTCTCAAGAGTTACAGAGCTCCGCCTTTGTATCAATATCTGTTCCAAGGTGCATCAGCCTTTGCGGCCTTGCAATTACATACACAACCCAGCTAGGTATGTACTTTTTCAGCACTCCCGTTTTGTCCGATTAGGAATCTTTTATCCTTTCCTAGTAAATCACCTAATGCTGTCTATATAAGCAGTCCCAGTTTGTATACGCCAGGGCTAACGGCGAGCAGCATCAATGTTGCCTTGCTGCTAGATAACAGCCTGGTTGTAATTCCCGCAAATGCTAGGCATCGATGGTAGGTGACGGGAACTTGCAGATTTTCTACTGCTGGACCTCGTCATCCGGCTTTGTGTAAGTGGGGCCTCTGTGACGTACGGAGGCTGATGAGTTTCACTGAATCAGACATCTCAGAGCCCAGAAGGTATAAATGGCAAGAGAACGGAGAGTCGCGTTTTTTATGATAGATGTAGATATGCAAGAAGCACCACATAGTTGCCATATTTCAACCCATCAGCACCAAAACTTGCTTTGTTTCTCAACATAAATTCTATCGACACACTCTGCTTTACATCATGCAAGCTTGGCATCATCACCCTCCAGGCGGCACCGAGAAGCTCAAGATCGTCCAGGTAGCCATACCAGAGATCGATGATGACGAGGTCCTTGTCAAGATCCACGCTGCAGGTCTTATCTGGATGGAGCTCTACTGGCAGCTCTACGAGAAAGAGGACGGTACATATAAGACCCCTATCCCTGGAGAGGACTACTCTGGGGTAATAGTAAAAGTGGGGTCAAAAGTACCAGAGGGCCTTAAAGTCGGCACTGAAGTTATGGTCTTTGTAACCAAGGCCTTCTCCAGCAAGCGAAGCACGGACGGCGGCATGGCAGAATATGCTAAGGCTCATTTCTCTAAAATGATCCCCAAGCCTCAGAGTCTAAGCTACGTCGAGGCTGCGTCAGTGCCACTTTCCGCTCTTACCGCATGGCAGGGCTTGTTCGACCACGCAAAACTCAAAGCTGGCCAGACCCTACTAGTTGCTGGAGGGACGGGTCCAACCGCCATTTGGGCCATCCAGATAGGCAAAATGGTCGGGGCTCGAGTCATCGCCACAGCAGCGTCTGAACAAAGTTTCAAGCTCCTCAAGTCGCTTGGGATAGACCAGGTTATAAACTACAAAGAGGTTAAACTAGAGTCTGCTCTCGCTTCAGAAAACGTCGATGTTGTTTTCAATGCTGTAGGCGACGAAGTGACGAAGCAGACCTTGAAGGTTATTAGCGAAGACGGAATAATTATTAACATTGTGGACACAACAGTCGGCGATTTGAGCAAGGAATCTGTGAGGGATAGGTTTCGAGAACCTTTCTTTAGGAAGGAAGAGGGACGGACGGTGGTTTTCTTTATTGTTGACATGAATATACAGCAGTTGACGGAGATTGGCAACTTACTTGACGAGGGTAAACTGAAAGCGGTCATTGGCGCCGTCTATGAGTTCAAAGATGTGGTAAATGCCTTCAGGCAAGGCGAGGCAGGTCACGCTCATGGGAAGATTGTGGTAAAGGGGCCTGGTCTCTAAGATTTTACCGCTGGCCAGGGCCAAAGTTAGGAATTAGGCAAAGTCCGGAAATGCCATGTTAGCTACAATCTCAATACTATGCTACATTTGCACTATATGTTAACGCTTGTTGCCGGAGACTTGCTCGGTTTGGCTATAGTTGTGTATATTCCCTTTATTTAATGTTTGCAAGAGGCTTCGCAAAAACTTGACACAATTTCGAAAGGCTTCGACGAGAGATGACTGAGAGCTGACAAAAGGAACCCTTATTTCTGCGGGCTATACGAGCGCTATACGAGCTTATCATGAGGGTAGAAGCGATGCACAAACTGGTCGATTCAATGATGATTTCTCAATATCAATGGGTTGGCAAAATTCGACTATAATATGTTGCCACCTCTTCAACCGCCTGAGAAATCGGCGCTAAAACTAATTTTCTACTTTGTTAGCAATGGGCCATTACCTAGTCTGGTTTGGCTTGCTGTCGTCTAGAAGGACTAAGCCCTGAGCCCAATGTCTTTATATTCGTCGTCGTAAACCACCAAGGCGGCGACTCCACCCTTCTCCACAATCTCTGTATCCACAATCAACGTCGCTAGCAGCTTGGCGGATTCCGCGGCGCTGTAATTTTCGCTGACCTTGTGGTGGCAGCCTGGGGCCTCAAACCAGCTTCCACCCTGCTCCACCATACGAGTCGAGTCGTCGTTCATCTTATTGAGTACCGTTCCTTCGATGACGAATGCAGATACAGAAGCTCCTGCGTGGCGGTGAGGGGGTGTAGCGCCCCGAGGAGGATAGGTAACCAAGAGGCCCACGCTAGATTTTCCAGGGCAGTTTGGTAGCTGATTCTTGTATACAAGCTCGACGGTCGGAAGTGGTCGACTGCCAGCATGTATCAGCCGGTTGTTACTTCAAATGGGATTGAAAGAAAGAGGGTTATATTAATCTCTTAGACTCTGCTAGTATGCAAGTTATACCTTCGGTTATATTTAGGAGGATCGGGTACGATCTTGCCTTGTTCCATGCTGAGCTGTCGAGTTTCAGGTAGTATACTGGAGTATGATCTTATAGCCTTGCCGAAAAATCTGTTGGATATCTACGGGTCTTATATACATTTTTCAATTTGCTGGAATAGGTTTGTTTGGGACTCCAGTGTTCCCACAGCCCGAAAGTGAAATTAGGTCGGAGGCGCTGTGAGTGTGTAGCCATGCGGGGACGCTACAGTGTTAGATTGACACTTACTCATTGTTGAATGTCTACTAAGGAATTAAAAGCAACTAGGGATGTGTACATGACATTCCAACCCGTACAACCCCCACGCGCTTGTTCACTCAAGCGCCACTTAGATGTATTAAGAGAATTATTTCAGATATTGCCAGTCCACATACGTAAGGAAGAGACAGATCAGGAGTAGAGGTGTGAAAAGCCATGTTAGTTTGTTTTACTATAATTGCGATGGAATTGCAAACAGGCTCACGCTCTGTCGTGCTTTCGGATGATAAGTGAAGTTAAGTAGGATCTTTGGCATGCTACTAAATTTAAGGCCTCCAGACTACCTCTAATCTTATAGAACAAGGGGAATATATGCCTGACTATACGGCATATTATAGGATTGTAGGGCAGTACAACTGTAATAATAATATTCTCTACTCTGTACTGGCCCCGATATATCTACAGGATAGAGCAGAGTAAACGTAATATATGTATTTAGTGTAACCGTAGGACTTTAAGGGAAAGCCTGCAGCTGAGTATATTTCATAACCTCGGGAAACCTACCCGAAAGGGTAATTTGATTCCTTATTCTATAACATGGCAGGGTTCCTACAGCCTCTTTTGTATTTGCGCTTGCTTTACTATACAGCTTTTTAACGCCGCTAAAGAAAGAGGTTTTAAGGCCCTTTATTAAGTTCTATATAGCAGATGCAGCTTTAAAGCTGCCTCCTATAAACTTAAAAGTCAGTATATTGTCTATAATATAGTCTCTATAACAGCGCTTTTTCTTAAGAGTTAAGTCTAAAGTAATATTCTTGCCTTTCCCTAGAATAAAGAAGGTAATTTTTCTTTATAAAGTATCTAGTGCTACCAGCCTAGAGGCAGCTATAAGGGGAGTCTTATCCTAAAGAATTAAAGTAATAGCTATAGATTTTATTATCTTAAAGACCCTAGTAAAAGCTTATAAAAGTAAGTTTAAGGGTGTTTTATTTAATAGCTAGTTAAATAAAATAAGGTTTTTAGTAAAAAAGTACCCAAAAGGTAAGGTACTTGTAAATATAGGAGGGAAGCTTTTTTTTATTATTATACTTATATAATATAATTTATATAACTTTATATTATATTATTATTATATTATATATTTTTTATATTTTTATATTTATATAATATATAATATTATAACCTAAAACTATAAAATATATACTCTAGATATATAATAAACTAATAAACTAATTAAAAAAGAATTATAGCTTTTAAAGTAAGCTATTTTAAAAAAATCTTTATTATAAAAGTAAACTATTATAAAAAGATTATAATTTAAATTATAAGCTTTATAAAATATCTTACTATATAAAATTATTTATTATATTTCTTAAATATAGCTTAAATAATTAATTATTAATTTAATATTTATATAATAATTAAATTAAACTTTTATTTAAAGTTATTAACTATACTATTCTAATCCTATACTTGTTTATTAATTTATTTATTATTTAGCTGCAATAATATATTAATTACTAGTAACTGCTAATATATATAAACTATATAAAGTTAAATAAAATAACCTAAAATAACTATTTTTATTAACTAACTTTAACCTAAAGTAAAGTCTATAGTATTAATTAAAATTAATATAAATTATTTAAATATTATAATCTTTTTATTATTATATATATTTATTTTACTAAAGCTTTTATAAAATATTTTTTAAAATATTTATATAAGCTTTAATAAAATATTTATTTATAAATTTATTATTTAAATTTAATAACTTATTAGTTATTACTTTATAGTAAATTACTTATATATATAAATTTTATAAACTTAAATAATTTATTTTAAAATAATTATTATAATTAATTTATTTTAAACTTAAGTAAGGTTTATTAACTTAAGTTAAATATATTAAATATATAAACTAAAGTAAAGTTACTATAAAAAGAAAATTTACTTTTTATAAAAAAAGTAAATAAGTTTATAATAAATAAATACTTATATAGTTTTAGTTTTTATAATATCCTGTCCTATACTATTTATAACATTCTGATCCTATACCTAGTATAGGGTAATTAGTTCCTAAGGGATAAACCTTTAATGTTGGGTTTATATTAGCAGAGAGATATAAAGGATTTTATAAGCAGTTTTAGTTATATAGCTAATAACTTTAAATAAAGGTTTAATTTAGTTATTATATAAAT